AGGTTGGGCAATCCTACTTCCGTAGTGATACTGCCTCGGAAACCCAAGGAGGGGTCGCTATGAGTCGGGGCCGACTCGACAGCAAATAACAACAACAACAACAACAGCTATTATTGTGAAGTTGTCTGTTTCTCTTTTCAATTCTCTTAAACTTTATGTATTTTGGGGCTGTTTCGTTGCGTGCATAGAATTTATAATGGTTAAATACTCTTGTTCGATTGATTCTTTAATCATTATATAATGCCTTGTTTCTTACAGTGATTTTTGTCTTAAAGTCTGTTTTATCAGAAATTAATATTGTCACTCCTGCTCTTTTTTGATCATCATTTCCTTGATATAATCTTTTCCAACTTTTGATTTTTAGTCTATTTTCATCTTTGTGTCAAAGATGTGTCTCTTGTAAACAGTGCATTGATGGGCCATATTTTCTTATCCATTCTGCAACTCTCTGTCTCTTGATTGGTGCATTTAATCCATTTACATTTTGTGTAATTATCAACAAATATGAATTTATTACTGTCATTTTTATATGTTTTTTTCGTGGTATTGCTGATTTCTTTGTTCCATATAATGTTCTGTGCTGAGCTAATTTTGTTTATGGATTTTCTTATCATTTCCTTCATTGTTGTTATTTTAGTATTTGCTAAATATTTGTGTCTTTCCTCTTTTTTATTTTGATGAGAAGATTTATGAATTTTCTTTGAGATCACCCTTTTTTTATTATTTTCTTCCCAACTTTAAAACAGTTCATTCTATCTCAGAATTGTTTTGACTTCGTCTCCATTTGGAGAGTCTGTAACTACACTATTTATTCCCTTTTTGATTTATAGTTTTACTCATTTACAAATTAATGTCTGTTTTCATTCTTGTAAATTTGTTTTACTTTGGATACATCTATATCTGGGTCAGTTTCTGAGTTTTGCTGTCATGTGTGTTAATCACAGATTGTTGTTTCCTGTTGTTGATTCTCTGAAGCAGTCCCTTTAGCATCTCTTGTAAGGTTGATGTGATTTTTACAAATTTCTGTTTATCTGGAAATGTCCTAATTTTGCCATCATATTTGAGTGACAGTTTTCTGGGTATATAATTATTAATTGAAAGTTTTGCCTTCTTGTCTGCATGGTTTCTGCCAAGATACCAAAGCTTAGTCTTACTGGTTGCACTTTGTAGTAGGTTACTTTTTGTTTTTCCTGAGCTGCTTTTAATATTCTTTCTTTGCCTTTGGTTTTGGAAAGTTTAATTATGCTATGTCTTGGTGATTTTCTTTTGGGATCTATCCTGTTTGAGGTTCATTGAATTTCTTGAATGTGTATCTTCTTGTCTGTCATCATGGTAGGGAAGTTCTCTTTCAACAAATTTCTCTGTGGTTTTATTTGCTTTTTCCTGTTCTGGATTTCCAATCACACATAAGTTATTGCTCTTGGTGGTGTTCTGAATAAATCTTAGCCTTTCTTTCTTTTTTTTTTGTTAGAAGAATTCAGCAAAATAAAATTCCAGTTTATTGTTGGATAACATTGTTTCACACGTACATCATACAGGCCGAAAAAACAAATAAATAAATAAATAAACAGCAACTTCATAGACAAAAAAAAGGAAAGGAAACCTTTTATCTTTGGCCTTTTTAACCATCTCATACAAACCAACTACTTATAGTACAGCTAAGTACATACACAAAAAAGTTACTGGAATGCTTGGAATAAGATTGTATTTTTTTGTTGTTGTTTTTGCTTTTTTTTACAAGTTTTTTTTCTCCTTTGAGATATAATGAACATGGTCACACCACAAGTAAAGTCAGAAGTAGGACAGAGAATGCTCTGAAGGCTGATTTGGTCATCCGAGATCATTAAAAATGGCTGACCCCTAACAATATGTACAAAAATATAAAATGTAAATACAAAATACAAACAAATTTTCCTTTTTAAAGTACTTTTAAGAAAAAAAGCAGGGCCTTGGAAGTTTTGGTTCTTTTCCCCTCCCCTGTTGCAAATTCACGTTGTGGTTTGGGTTCGGTGGTGGAGACCGTGTGTCATCTGCAGGTGGCGCTGCCTGCAGTGGGCGGGCAGGACTCTCTACTTGAAGGTGTTTAGATTCTGAGACAGGAAGTGGAGGGTGAATAGATCACGGTGGCCTTTTCTTTCTTTCTTTTTTTTTTTTTAAGTTTAACTTTTCCTTTTTTGCTGTCTAGTCATCCTCATCAGTCTTCAGTTTCTTGGTGTCAACATCATCATCCTCACCATCTTCAGCTGCCCGTTTGCCCGTAGTTGCCTCAGCCTCTTCATCTTCATCTCTATCCTCTTCCTCACCATCACTTTCTTCCTCCTCCTCTTCTTCCTCCCCATCTTCATCCTTTTCTTCATCTACCTCATTGTCAGGCTCCTGTTCCCCATTTTCCTTGTTAGCGTTCCCGTTAGTGGATGCATCTCTTCCATTCTCCGCCTCCTCCACAGCCTCCTTGTTCTCCTTTAAGTCCTTGGTGGTGATCTTGGAGCTGGTGTCCACAGCTGCGTCTGACGTGGTGGGGCACACTGGTGATCCGATGCAGCAGATTACAAAGAAAGCACGAGTTTGGGGACTCTGGTGAGGAAGCTGCCGGAGTCCGCGGTGGCAGAGGAGGCATGTGGCCGAGGTGGCTGTGGCGAGTGAGAAGCCGGACGCTGGAACAATGCAAAGATGGCTTTTCAGAGCAGCCAGTGGGGTCTTCCTTTTTTTAATTTTTTTTTTTATTCTTTTTTTTTTGATTGTTGACAAAGTAGTGGTGCAAGATTTACCTTCAATCTCACTAAGCCTGTGTTCCATTGATTCAGTTTTGCTGCTTTGCCCTTTCAATGTGGTATCTTTCTCTGAAATGTTAATATTAATCTTCTGGATTTCTCTTTGCTATTTTTGTATGGTTTCTAGTTTTCATTTTTTTTTGTCAGTTTGTTTTTATATTGTTTCCCTACATTCTTAGAGAGTTTTGTCTCTGTCTTCCTTAGTTTTGTCGGTATTTTTGTTTATTTCATCAGTGGTTTCCTTGATGTATCTCTCAGTCTGTTGAAGATAGCTAAATATAATTCTTTTGAATTCTTTATCTGGTGTTTCCAATGCCATGTCTTCCTGAGGGAGATTTCCTGGCTGTGTATTCTGGTCCCTTGTGTGTATTACTTTATCTTGCTTCC